TCTGAAAAGAAGCCAAAAATGCAATAATATACAGGGTGTTCCATTTAAAGACAGTCATTCCAATCCAGTCACACTTTTTTGAGCCACCCTATAAAAGTTAAAATATTTTCCTGAAATACATCCTAGACCATACTTTAGAATTGCACTGAAACAAAATTTCCAATTTTTTTATTCTAGGAACTAGTAAATAATAATATCAATAAATAGATATTTTTGTTTTATTTGAAATTTTTTCAGTTATCTTTACTTTTTGATGATATTCTTCATAATGACGAGGTGGCTCTGGTGATTATTGCTGTATACGACTGAATATGGTTCTTAGTGTCGAGGATTGTGTTTGTTGAATAAGCTCATTGATTTTGTTGAAGATTGCGGAAATTATGAATATTCGCTTGGTCTTTGAAGAAGAATTGGAAAACATAACACAATATATTTGAAGCCTCATTAACAGTATGCACCCACAGTTATAGCAGCCGAACAAATAATATCTATACAACAATGTGCCAGAACTACTTAAAATTGTAAATAATAAAGTGGGACGAACTTGCCAAAATTTCCCCAATTTCACTCGCTTTAGTTGTTACTTTAAATCCATAATATTTCAAGTTAACAGCTTTATAATTCATATTTACGCTTTACTATAATCCTCTGTAAAATATATGTCATTTAAATATTTAAAAATAACTATTTCAATGTATTATTTTGACTTATACCGTGTGTTTCACGTTGAATCGTCGACCTGAACGTAGGATATCCTACGTAAATTTTAATGATGAATAAAAATGTTCCGTTTTAAGTATGGAACTTTTATTATATATGGAAGAATTTAGTGTAAAAGAGAAAATTCTTCGTCGTGATTTGTTTCTACAAAGTGTTTTTTTAATTATAGTTTTAGTTACGGAGTATAAAATATTTAACTATACAGGTTGAATCTTAAATAAGTGCAAATATTTTCAGGGGTACATTTCGACCCCAGGAACACGTCTATGAGGTTTTTTGGCTAAAAAAGATGATGAAAATCGTGCATTTTATTTTAAAATTTTCCTGTATATTTTTCGAAAACTTTTTAGAACTGCCTGTTTTTACTCTCTGATATTACCATAGTTACGGCTTTACTCTATGGTTGCGGCAAAAAAAGGGATGCAAATACAGAAAAATCCGGTGTCTCTCAAAATTTTTTTCAAAAAAATCATTTTTTTTTAATTTTCAAACTTAAATAACTAGGTTATTTTGGACTTATCTGAAAAATGGCAGAGAGAAAATATGTTTCTTTTATCGAGATCTATCAGCCCTAAAAATATATGCACTTATTTAAGACTCACCCTGTATACAGGGTGGTCCGAATTGTATTCCGGAAACATCGGCAGCATATTCTTCAGATAAAAATACGTAAAAAAGTTCGTATAAATGTATGTCCTAAAATGCTTAGTTTCGGAGATACAGGGTGTAGAAATTTCATTTTTATTTCGATTTTTTCCAAATAATTTCTGAAGTAACGTCAATATTTACATGAAAATTGGTGTATGGGTGTTTTTTGACATGAGAAATTTGATTTTGATGTCAATATGACTCCTACTAGTAGAGGGCGCCACCTACATGTGTTTTAACTGTTTTGAAGCGTAATAACTTTTTACCTGTATAATACTATCGGGGAAAAAAATATACATTCTTGTGACTTTTTACGCAAAAAATGTCTCTTTGTAAAAATCGCTACGAGCAACCGATCTCAAGATATTTAGAATGGAAATGGTCAATACATGCCATTATTAACGAAAAATAAACACGTTGAGTTAGATAGTTATTTCACTGAAATAAATAAATTTGGAATTTTTTTTTTTTTAAATTAATCATATTTTTTCTGCAAAAAAAAATGATGATAAAACAAATTTTTGGTACAAAAACATTTCAGATTTATGATCTCAGTCTAATAACTATTTAGTTAACATGTTCAATTTGTCAGTGATGACAGGTATTGATAATTTTGATTCCAAATATCTCGAAAACCATTACCCGTAGCGATTTTTACCAAGAGACCTTTTTTACGTAAAAAGCATCGTACATGTATATTTTTTTACTCAGTAGTTTTATACAGGTACGGACAAAAAGTTATTACTCTTCAAACCAGTTAAAAAATATGTAGGTGGCGCCCTCTACTAGTAGGAGTCATATTGACATCAAAATCAAATTTCTCATGATAAAAAACTCCCAGACACCAATTTTCATCCAAATATTGACTTTACTTCAGAAATTATTTGGAAAAAACCGAAATAAAAATTAAACTTCTACACCCTGTATCTCTGAAACTAAGCATTTTAGGATATACATTTATACGAACTTTTTTACTTATTTTTATCTGCAGAATATGCTGCCGAAGTTTCCGGAATACAGTTCGAACCACCCTGTATATATTAACCCATACGTAGTATGATGAAAACGGCAGAAAAATTGGCCTGGAAATGACTATCAATAACATTTTCAATATAATTTATATTCGAAATGACATTGATGACATTTATCATAGTTCATATTTAGCGATCGTGATACCATGGTAATATAGAATGTACTACAATATTTTTGGAATTAAAAATACTAGTAGCATGTTGTAGGTGTAGGTATTTTGTCAAAATTAATTAGACACTAAAGGTTGATTCTCACTATACCTTCCATATCAGGTCCCTTCCGTTTACATAAAATATTATGTCATCTATAAATAAATAGGACAATGCATACTATCCGTTCCGTTTCCCTTCCGTTCCATATCCCTTACTTCCATACATTTTTTGGCTGACGGACTGAAGCGTATCGGAAACAGCTTTCTCAAGTTTTTACATTTCTACCAGCTCTGTTAATATTTTGCTGTTATTTATTTATTCTTTCACGTCTTAATTATATCTATTAGCTTTTTCAAAAGATACAAATTTTTAAAATAAAACTTTCGTAATTATACCGGGTGTCGCATCGTCGGACGGGACATAGGAAATCCCATGTAAATTTTAATGGGGTCAATTATTGGCTTCCCTAATTATTTTAGAGAATAATTCTATTTAGGTTTATTGAAGAGCACTAAAACCCACATTCAAAAGAATAACTTTAGATATTTTTGATTAGCTCGTTTACGAGTTATCGCCGATATCTTTTTAAATATTTCTCCTTTCTTATGGCCCTGTATTTACTTATGAGCACCAGTCAAGGTAAAAGATAACTGTCAAATGCAGTTGTCATTTCAGAAATTTACCTATTTAGTGCTTTATTATTATTGAAAACTCATTCCTACATCGCAAATCTTAAAGATGTATTTATAAATACAAATTAATATGAATTAAAGTAAAATAAAGTAATCAATTACAAGGTTAATTATAGTATTATTACAATATTCAATAACTTATTAATTTAGGTACTATTAATTTGTTAGAACTTTAGGATTTAAGAAGTTGTTCAAATATTCCTCCATCGGCTGCTAGACAATAACCCAGGCGATCATAAAATTCTCTTCTTACATTCGCTAGTTGGTAAACTGAAATTCTATTTCATTCGGCAGAAATAGCATTTTTTAACTCGTCTAGATTTGGGTATTTTTTATCCTCGTATATCTTGTTTTTTAAATGGCTCCAGAGAAAGAAATCATATGGCGAAATATCAGGAGACCTTGCTGGCCAATTTACTGTATGATTTAGGCCAATAACGTTTCCGTTAAAACTGTTGTCTAAATATTCCCGAACAGCCAGGGTACTATGTGCCGGGCAGCCATCCATTTGGTACCAAACTTCCTGATTTTTCCTAGCGGCATCATGTAAAGTAGGTAAAATATGATTTTCGAGTAGTTTCAAATAATATTCTGCATTTAAATTTCGCGTAAGAAATAATGGCCCGATAATATTGTGTCCGAATATCCCTGCCCAAACATTTACTTTCTGTGGATATTGCGTCCTTGTTTCGACAAACCTGTGTTGGTTTTCTTTGTTCCAATATCGATAATTGTGAACATTGGGTTCATTATTTAAGGTAAACGTGCATTCGTCAGTGAAACACATGTTTTTTAAAAATTCCCTGTCCGTGTTTGCTCTTTCCATCATATCTAAACAAAACGCCTGCCGCCGTATTTCGTCCCTATCTCGTAGCTCTTGGTGCTTTTCATAGTTGAAAGAATAGTATTTATGTCGTTTCAAAATTCGAAACGCTGTAGTGTGATCTGTTCCTATTTCATCCTCAAGTTTCCTTGTGCTGATCTTTCCATCGTTCTCTTCCACGCACAATAAAACTTCCAAGTCGGTATCATTTCTTGCATCTTCTCTTTGTTCCTGCCTTGCTTCACATCTGCAGTTATTTATTATGGTACCTTTGGTCTCAAATCTCTGGATATTCCTTACGATTGTAGATTTTCCAAGTATCGGTCTATTCGGATACAGAGCAGCAAACATGTCCGACACCTTTTGATAACTATTTCCTTGATAAAACCATTTAATCATCAATACTTTTTCTTCGGTAGTGTAATTCATGGCTAATATTTTCGATGTAGGTATGAGTTTTTAATAATAATAATAAAGCACTAAATAGACAAATTTCTGAAATGACAACTTCATTTGACAGTTATCTTTTACCTTGACTGGTGCTCATAAGTAAATACAGGGCCATAAGAAAGGAGAAATATTTAAAAAGAAATCGGCGATAACTCGTAAACGGGCTAATCAAAAATATCTAAAGTTATTCTTTTGAATGTGGGTTTTAGTGCTCTTCAATAAACCTCAATAGAATTATTCTCTAAAATAATTAGGGAAGCCAATAATTGACCCCATTAAAATTTACATGGGATTTCCTATGCCCCGCTCGACGATGCAACACCCGGTATAAATTGTACAATAAAACGTATGGAACTGATACGGAACGGAAGCTTACGTATAGCGTCAATACAATAAAAAATACGGAACGAATATGGAATGGATATGGAATGGAAACGGAAGGTATAGTGAAAATCAACCTTAATACGTTTTTAACTAACTTACCTCATTAATGGGATCAGTTACAAAAACGAATAAACTTAGTCTTGCTCCTAGACATCCTTTACGTTGTTTTCACTCTGTAACAAATAGAACGATTTTACAAACATATAAATAAAATACATATATACAAATACACGATGACAGAAAAAAAGCAGATGACGTCAATACCAATCCATTTATTTCATAAAAAAAAGTTTCTAATATTTTTTAAGTTAACTATGGATTTAGTATTAACTAGATTTTTTATTAACTCTCTATGAATTTAGCCAAATAAATAATTATATTTATAGCCTATATCATGGTCACCATATTCAGCTTTCAAACAGTAAAAACAGCATTAAAATCCGTTCATTAGTTTTTCAGTAATGCTTTGACATACAAACAAAGAAATGTTTTAATCTTTGATTTTTGATTTGTAAATCATCATTAGTGAACAACATATTATTTTTTTTTCAAATTTGTTCCATGTACAGGGTAGACCATTTTGGTTGTTTCTATAGGGTATCTAGGAAACCGTTAGAAATATTCAAATTTTGATACTGCAGTATCGGTTCGGGTCCTTTTTTAGAAAAAATCGCAATGCCGCAAACGGATCGTGGCTATCTTGATCGGTTTCGAAGCTACAGGGGAATTCTCAAATTTTGTACTTTTTGAAGATGTTCGATAGTTTGTTTATTTCAGCAACTACGCAAAAGTGAATTATACATTCTAAAAGCACTTTTCTGTGTAGGATGCAGTGGCGTAGTCAGACTTTTTTCAAAAAAAATATTATTTAGATATTAACTATACTTCTGTTTTTTTTAAAATAGAACCCCCTGTATATTTTTTAATTTTCTGATTCAGCTTGGCATTGGCTTCTCGAAAATATATAACACTGTATATTTATTTTCACTATTAACCTCAACATTTCAAATTTTTCTTAATCTATCCAGTTAGGATAGTAGGCCGCGCCGAGTATACGACATACAGTACGTCTGCTGGATCTGTGTCTATGAAAGGAATGCGGACAAAAAACATTTAAATAAACAACAATATATTTTATACGTCGAATTGACGAGTACGTCAACGCAAATCGCTCCGCCCATTCATTTTATTGGCTACTTACAAATTTGTTGAATTTTTATTGATGGGACGCGTCGTCTAATTTTTTACGTAAAACATCGAGAGAATTATCGTTTCCCTTCTCACGGATACCCCGTAGCTACAGAACGGACAGACGTACTGTACATACCTTTGATGGATGCGTGACATTTCATTTCAGCAGATTGAAGTGTGTGTATTTTAAATAATAAAAAAATGAGTAAATTTGAAAATTTTGAGAAACATAATATGTTAGAATGTTATATTGAGTCTAACAAACATAAGCAAATGGCAACTGATTTATATTTTGAGCCGTATTTTAAGCGCGAGCAACCAAACCCAGCCATTTTTAAAAGGTCAGAAAATAGTTTAATCCTAGCCACTTAGGTCACCTGATATCACTCCCTTGGACTTCTTTCTCTGGGGCTTTCTGAAAAACGAAATTTATCGAAATGCAAATAGAACATTAGAAGAGTTACAAGATAGTTTTGTTGTGGATTTTCAAAGTGTAACCAACATACACATTCCAAATGCTGTTAGCGGCGGTGTGCAGAGACGGTGCCAACTCCGTCTAGATAATAATGGGCAGCAGTTTGAACATTTAATGTAGTCTGTGTGTTTTATTTTTTATATTAACTGAGAAGCCTGATTGAAGTAACCTGTTGAGTTTGTATTAAAATATGTTCTTTTGTTTCTGTCACACTTATTTTTTATTTGCTTCGTATTGTTCCTACATGGATTAATTTGATGAATTTAAAAAAATAATATATAAGACTAAAGAATAATCACTCTCAATTAATTTGAAAGTAGATATTCGCTTGTTTCCTCTAATACACGGCATGACCTGCCAAGAGGAAAGTCCATATCTTTAAATAAATTGGAATTTAAAAGTTAATAGTGAAAATAAATATATAGTGTTATATATTTTCGAGAAGCCCATATCAAACTGAATCAGAAAATTTAAAAATATACAGAGGGTTGTATTTAAAAAAAACATAAGTATAGTTAATATCTAAAAAAATATTTTTTTCGAAAAAAGTCTGACTATGCCACTGCATTCTACTGAGAAAAGTGCCTTTAGAATGTTTAATTCATTTTTGCGTAGTTGTTGAAATAAAAAAAACTATCGAACATTTCAAAAAGTACAAAATTTGAGAATCCCCTGTGGCTTCGAAACCGATCAAGATAGCCACAATCCGTTTGCGCCATTGTGTTTTTTTTTTCAAAAAAAGAACGGGAGACTGCAGTATCAAAATTTGAATATTTCTCACGGTTTCCTAGATACCCTATAGAAACAACCAAAATGGTCCACCCTGTACAAACCTTTCGATCTGTATTCCTTTAATACAATACATTAATTATCAACTAACGATGTATTATTTAATGGCACTGTAGCAGTTAACAATACATGGAAATTATCGATGAACGACAATAATCAGCTCAATGGTCAGCTTTAATGTTTATGACCCACTTTGCCACTTAATGTAGGTTGTTACAGGAAACTTTTTTCATTTAATTTCTTATCCACAATCCAATCTCTCTCTTTAGCTAGCTGGCGTCTAATCCTCGCTCCAGAGGCGGAAGACGCTCGATGCGAACGCGGCTTTAATAGCCAAGGGAATCGGGCGGTGGTTAAACCATTTTAACTTGTAATCAAGTGCAGTAACGGCGACATAATGTAGGTTTCCGTGTTAATTTCTAGGCTAAATAATAATTCCTGTTATTTTCACGAACACCGAACGACATTCTTTATTTCCGCACGCGGTGTTGACGTCATTCTGGAAAGGCTGGATATTAAATTGATATTTTGATCATAGTTGTTTTTTTATTTGTTTATAGAGCTGAATAGAAATATAATTTTCATAACCGGAACACCGGGACAAAGACATAATTACTAATGCATATTGGTTCCAGTTCTGTGTGTACAGGGTGGCTCGAATTCGACGCTCATGATTGGGATTTCGGAAACCGTAAGAGATACAGGATCGGTTAAATGGAGGCAAAGATGCGCAATTTGATGCACAATAAAATGCCGTATTGCATTTTATTTATTTTTTTTTGCATAAAATATTCTGGTGATGGAATTTTCTGTACGAAACGTCGACAAATATCAAACTGACTATATATAGTGTTTTAAGAGTGATGAAAGGATTTAATTAAATTGAAAAAAAATCAGGTCCGTATTTAAAAAAATTAAATTTATTTTTAAAATTAAGATGAAGGCCAGAAGCCGAAACGTCAGAGTCAATCTTTAATCACACAGAGTTATAGAGCAGAAAAAGTGGCCATGAAAATGGGTTTTTCAGTTTAAATTGTCTTAACAAATAAAGCCAGGAAACAACAGAAAGCAAAATTGAAAATTCCGGTTTTTTTCGAATATATTTGGAAGTATTCGGAATTTTTCAAAATGCAATACGGCATTTTATTGAGCATCAAATTGCGCAACTTTGCCTCTATTTAACCGATCCTGTATCTCTTACGGTTTCCGAAATCTCAATGATGAACGTCGAATTCGAGCCACCCTGTACAGTACAGGGTAGGTCAGATTGGACGCTTTTAAAGGGAAACATCCTCTTCTATAAGAGATTAGAGTTCAGAATCGGGAAATCCCGGTACCGACAGTACCGGGAATGGGCTCTTTCACTATATTTTGGAATTAGCATAATTGAATAAAACAATTAATTCTAGAATTTTCTGCTATCTCACTTTCGAAAAATTTGAAGTCGTTCTTAAGAAAATAAATAAAAACAAAAAAGCCCAGAATAAAAATCCGCACTTTATTTTTAATACGTCAAACCTGGCATGTTGAAAAGCGGCAACACGGCCGTGGCCGGGCCACCATGCTGACCCATCACCACCTCCACACAAGACCATTCAACCTTTTCCAATATGGCGGAGATAGAAGTGCTTTATTTGGCGGGTATTTTAAAACCTGCTTTGTTTCCAAATAGACATTTTTCACACAAATGTCGGGTTAGATTACGTAATATTTCACTAATTTTTTAATTTACAGGGAGTCTAAAGTTCTCCACATAAGTATGGAATTTTTTGTATTATTACTTTTATGAAAACATCAGTTAGTTACTTTTTATAAAAGGGTCTGCTTTCTCAGAAAATAAGTAGTGTTGAAATATTCAAACTTGAAGTAGCATATATAGTGTGTTAAAAATCATCGGAAAAAGAAATAACCAGAAATATATGAGAGAAAATAGCAATATAAACTAAATATTCAATTGCAAACACTTACCTACCATAGTTTAGAATTTACTGAACGTTTGATAAATATATACTATTATGGACAGTATAGGAAGTTACTTGACTTAGTAAAAGCCTTGGTAAATGCTCTTCGAATTATAAACTACACTGGCTTGGGTCAAAAAATATGGAATATTTTTTCTATGTTTTGCAGCATTACACAAATGGAAATAAATTTAAGCTATAATAGGTGAGGATAAATTAAAAATATAATATGTGTTTCAAGATTTTATATAGAAAAAAAAACTAAATACCTTTTTGACGGTTCGTAAGTAAAACTTACGCTTAGCTTAGTTTTCTTTACTCTTTCTCTTTACATAGGGTATTGTCTTTGTGGTAAAGACGTCATTCCGTTTTTTGCATAGTTCTTCAATAAAATATATTTTATATTCTGAACAAGATGGATTTAATAATAAATTCTGACGTATGTGAGGGGCAATTGTGACCTAAAAAAGACTTACATCCAGGCCATTTATATTTTCAAATGTCAATGTTGTCAATATCTTTCTGTGATCTTTTTGATGTAAAAAGCTTGATTCTTCTTTCAATATTTTACTTATAGTGAGGTAAGTGTAAGCATTAGCCATAACTATATCCTCACTAAGGTAACATGGCCTTTTTGAGGCATATTTAATGCACTTCTTACCCGAAAACTACTAGTAGGAGTGAAATTATCTCTTTTAATAGCTGTCAACCATTTTTTACGAAGCTCGTCATTTTTGGGGAATATAAAAGCAGAAAC